AAGGAAATAAAAAGAAATGAAGAAAAGAAAATTGGTTTTGAATTTAAAAATAGGTTTTCAAGTATTCTTTTAATGAATTGATTTCAATTTCGGGTTGTGGTTTTATATGAGTAGTGATATTGCACTATTTACGAATAAAACGAATTTCAGGGAGTCCTTCCGACAGAGTAAATCATTAAAAAGGTAAGATTTACAAATTTTAATGCAAAAAATGAATCGCATGAATACTTAAAAATGTTGTACATTGATGTTTGAAATGCACAGTATAAATCTTCATATTAATGAATGCATATTTTCAGTCTCCTATTCATGAATCAAAAAACACCTAAAATTTTGATGCATACATGTTCGCAAGTACTAATTATATAAATATTTTGTTAGTTGACAGTACTATAAGAAAAAGCATCCGACATATATAAGTTATTCATTTGCATATGCAATTATTTAATATATTTTAATAAGAATCACATATTGATTGAAATAGATTAATCATGAAATGTGGAAAGCTCAAGAAATGTCATGTTATGGGCCAGGTTGGCAAGGCTATGTTTATTTTACCTACCCAAGTAAGGGAAAAGAGGCACCAAATTGAGCAAAGGGTCTCAAAAAGAGGCAAAAAGAGTCCTCAAGACAACTCAACAGTGATAATATTGTGTTTCACCTAGGCTTAAATGAACTTGATGATGTAGCCTTCGGGCCAAGTTATAATAGTTAATAATCTAGATTATCTAAATGACATATTCTAAAACTAAAATAAAATGTAAAACAACAAAAAATGCCTAAGCAAAGAATGACTTGATGCATTTAAATTATTTGTACTTATTTTTTATAATTCTATCCATTAATAATTAACACGCATGTTTATAATCTTTCAGTATTTGAGTTATGTATTAGATTTGTTTATCTTGTTAAGTCTAGTAAACCATCGAATCATTATAACTGCTTTTACAAAAAAAAAAGAGAAAAGAAGGTTGAGATTGACTATAATTTTTTGGGCACTATATTTTGTTGTAAAGTTATAATAAGATAAAAAACTTTTGAGGTAAGTTAATCTACACATTATATATTTTCTAAAGAACTATGACAAGTTTTAGATGCTCTACAAATTTATTTTACTAATACATTTTGGATTGCTTCCACTAAATTTGAAATGTTTGGAGTTAACTAGATATAAGTAAATTGGGTAAACATGTTATATGATGTTTTGGATGAAATTAGGCAATTGAGCATATCACTCACCCTATTATGGTCAATATGATACAAAAATGGATGATGAAGGTATAATCAGTCAGCTAAATTACGCCTAGCTCTATCACCGCCAATATCGACTAGTGGAGGGGTATCATGGGGTATGAGAATAGGTAAAATCAAATGTCCAAATTCGATCTCCTACCCACTCGATAAATGATAATCCTTCATTAGAACAAAGCTGCACTAAAATTTTGAACCAATTTTAATCTATCCCTTAGAGCATGAGCAAGTTATGCCTACCCCACCTTGCCCTACAAAGATAGACACTTCATCATTGATCGGAATGAGCTTTGAGACTAATAGTCTTATTGTTGAAACACATCAACTCCCTCCAAAGTGATTTTAACAATAATCATGATTTTAAACAACCTCATGATTCAAATGCAAGTATTTGAAGAGTTGAAACTTTGGTTGATAAGAGTTTCAAAATCATACTTACTAGACATATCATGAATTTAAAAAAAAAATTCTTTATCATTCCCTCATATCCATGAGGCTTTAAAAAGGGCAACATAAATAAAATTCTGTTGTAGCCTCTATTATTCATTGGATATTGCCCTTGGATGTCATGTTATATTTGTATTTCTATTTTTTTATTTTGGCGAATACACTACTCATGTCGCATATAAATTTGGAGTTGCAATAGATAAAATTCTAGCTTTAATAAAGAAGGGTGTACAAATTAAAATTCCACAACTTTCAAGATATGAGGTCAGGTTTAGACACTTTATAATAATATTGATGAGTATCCTAAAAGCTGTGTTGAATGGAGAGACTGACTTTATCAATATCAAGTGAGCAGAACACTCACTAAAGATACAAAAGGGGTAATTTGATTATTTTGTTTTATAATTATTATGGTTCTATTCTGTTGTATAAATGTTATTGTGTTATAATTATTGTGATTGTACTCGATGTCAAAGTTAAAGTAACGTTGAGTTATAACTATTATGATTACATTTTACTATATCAAAGTTAAACTCTATTGTGTTATAATTATTGTAATTGTACTTTTGTGTGTAATAATCTACTGATAGCTTCTTCGAATTATTTTCATGCAAAGTTTGAATATGGCTTGAACAAGGCTCAAACATTAATCATACGGATTCGAATGTGATTAAATGAAGCTTAAATATTGTTTGAATCTTGTTCTAATACAATTCAATTAAAAATCTAAACACCCAATTATCAAAATCCCGTTATACAAGCACAGAAATATATCACTTTAAATAATTTAGTGTTAGTGATATTATTAATATGATTTAAGAATTTGGGTGTTTATATAAAAAATACAAATTTTTAAGTGTTAGATATGTAAATACATAACAGTCAATAATATGCATACAAGTCTGATACTGGAGTTAAACCGAGAAAGAACCGAACACAAAATATTATTACATAAAACTTCAAAAGGAATCAAAACAAAATATTCTTAAAACAAGAAATTAATAACACAAACATAAACGAGCCCCTATGACTAGAACAGAAGTGGTAAATCCAGCTGAATAGCAAAAGGGAGGTGGTCTGGGGGTTTCAGGGAAGAGGAAGGGTGATATTGAAGGAAGGTGGGACGGTAACAAGGGACTGCAGTGGATAGAGTTGCAGGGAGGGACTGGCGATGGCAATAGAGTTGTTGGAGAGGCTAGCGGCGGCAGCAGTGGGCATTAAGAGAGGTCGGCAGCCATAGCGGGGTGAGTATGAGAGGCGGGCGGCGGCGGCAGCGGATAGAGATGGGATTGGTGATCGCAGCAATAGAGAAGAGGGGCACTAGGATGGAAGCATTGAGCTGGGGAAAGGGAGTAGGTGTGGGGGTAGGTCGAGGTAGTCACCACCTCAGAGCAAGATACAGTCAGAGCACCACATATCCTCGAATATAACCCTAACAGGGGAAAAATGCTTGGAGGTGGAAACATGAAATCAACAAAAACTAAACCCTAGACAGTAGCAATATATAATTATGAAATCAGCAAAAACTAAACCCTAGACAGGAGCAGAGGAAAGGGAGTAGGCGTGGGTGTAGGTCGAGGTAGTCATCACCTCAGAGCAGGATACAACCGGAGAAACACATATCCTCTAATATAGCCCTAACAAGAGAAAAATGCCTGGAGGTGAAAATATGCAAAAATTAAACCTTAGACAGGAGCAACACATAATTATAATAGACAAATAGGGGAAAGGGGAGAGGGTTGTAGTTCCTGCCCATTAGAATGTCGATCGGTCCAGGCTGGACCAATCGATGCATCCCCAGCTCCGCGTCAAAGTTCCTCAAAAAAGTTACATATAAAAAATCAATTAAGCACAAAATTAAAACAAAAATTTCTCCATCTACTTTTAGATAACCTTGCAAATTCCTACGGATGAATCTCCCATTCAATAATCAAAACGAATTCAAAATCCTTTTAAAACAAAGTTTCTATTTAATTACCTTTCATTTACTTACTTTCCCCACCTTTTCCATGAATAGTTATGTCATCTCCGTTGTAAACTAATTAATCATCTTACATTTCTTCAAAAATGTTGTAAAGGAGAAAAGGGTAGCCTCACCTGAACCAATACTATCCAAATAAATTTCAAACAGTATCTTGATCTAATCAAACCTCATCAAATCCAATTGATACCCCAATTCAGTTATATTTAACCAAATATAATTCTCCTAATCAAGCCAAACAATAAACCTAACGAAACGGGGAAAAAAAAATTACCTCCAATTATCAAATACTCGAAGCAAAATCAATGAGTCTAGCGACGTGCATAAGAACTTCCAAGATTCCAAATCTAACTTCCTAAAGTTGTGATATGTTCTTAAGGATTGATAGTGAGAATCCTTCATCAATAAAACAGATACTTATGTTGTCTTCCTCTATAGTTCATCATCACTGAAATAAAATCCACATTCATTATTCCTTCTCAACGTAGATTTCTCATTATTTTCTCTACTCGGGAATATAAATTTCACTAACTCTACATAACATTTGAGTACCTCCATATATTCCTCCAGCAGAGCTCAACTATCTAGAGTAGAGCTATAAAAAAATGAAAAATAAAAAAATAAAAAAATAAACTCTCCAGAGTAGAGTTATTCGCAACCCAAGGGAAATGATGCAATGCAAAACATTTACTTCAGCACTTAGCCATGAGTTGTTATATTTTTTTTTTTATTAAAATATTATTTAACGTATTATGTTAGTCATTATTTGACATTTTGCTACTTGTTATTATATCAAATTACTTGCAAAATTTAAAAGCCAAGAGGCAGAATTAAACAGGTTGATTATGGAGTATAGATGTAGCCTTTCTTTGGCCTTCACTATATGAATAAATTAATTCTTCCCTCTTTCTATTAATCTCATTATTCTTTCTTTGAACCTTTTTACATTTGCTTCCTCCCTTGAGGCATTTGCTAATCTTCTCTTCGTAATATCTTTTACTTACCTCCATATTTCTCCCTCTACACCGCTCTATTTTTTTTCAACAAATCATGAAAGTCCAAGCCCATTGTAGTCTTCATTTTCATTCTGTAAGTAATCATCATTAAGCTTATTTTTATTATTAATATAAACAAGTTGTTGCATGAAAGATCTTCAATGCATCCTCAATAGAGAAGAAATAATTAAATTCATAACCAAAACGGACAATTCAATCATCATTAAAAGAGTAAATCAATCTAACATATAGAAGAATACATAAAATCTACATGTTGTTACTGTCAATGAAAGAAAAATCTGCAAGAAGCAATGTAACAATCTTACTCTTTTATCTCGTCAAACTTCAGATAGTGCAACCCTAACTGCAATCGTCGCAATCGAGCAACTCGTATATCCCATCCTGCGATGGCATTTTAACTAAAATTACATGGATTAAAAACTCAATGGGTTAGGTGATAATCATAATAAGACACCCTTTATCTGTCACTCATAAAGTGACATCGAAAGCATTTTGTACTGGTATGAAAAAGCTCACAGAATGGCTTGAAAGTGAGAAACTTTATAAGGAATTTGAACATAACAATAACATACCTTAAATACGAATAATCATCGAGCATGGAATTAGTAGAACAAAGAAAATTATCATTTGCAATTTTAGCAGACATATATTTAATAATTATTAACCATTGTTATTGAAAATCACATCATGTCAGGTGTGATAGGTTGTAATGTCTGGATCTATCATAAACAAGAATGCCATATAAATAAAAATATACTACTGTTAAAGCTAAACAAGATAAAAGAAAATGTTTTTTTCAGTATTATTTGTAAAGAAAATATATATTAAAGCCTAATATGTAAATTTCATAAAAATGTATTTAGACCAATGACCCAATATAGATCTGACTATTTGGCAAAAAGAAAAATTGAATAGTCAATTTTAAGCAAGAAAATATAACAATAAAACAATGAATGTGTGACAATTTTATGAAAGATAGATTAAGAACTTATTAAAGAGATGACAACTATTGCACATATTTCAAAAATTAGATAGAAAATAAAAAAAAAATGTACCATTAAAAAGGAATGAAAAAGTTGAAGTGCAAAATTATATTAAGAAAAAAATGGGTAAGACAGAGGTTGAAGGACTAGAACGTGTGAAAAAGAGTTTTGTAAAATAAAGTTAAGACCTCATGTAACATTCAATTTGAATGAATGGAGAAAAAGAATTCCCAAGTTTACCCTTAATAGCTGAGAAGATGTTTGCGTGCATGTAAAGTGAAGGAGATTATGCTTTAAAATTATTATAAGTAAATTGATAACAATTAATCTCACCATTGTCGAAACAAATGGCTTCTGCTTCTTCAGGACCTTCAAAGAAAAGAGTTTTGTCAAAAACTTCCGTCTGCCAAGGTCTCCAAAGCTCATGTGATACATTTCCTTCCAATAAACCGTTTGCTTCATATTTGTTACATTCAGTACTCGGCTTCCGGTGCCTTATAGATTCAACTGAGGACACATTACGTGGGAATGAAAGTGATGGTAAAATGACAAAGAGTCCTTCTTGAGTCACCACATACATAATCCCCTTGAAGGAGAATCCTATTGATTCTCCAACAAAAATGTCTTTCTTAAAATAAGACCTTTTGTAGAGCAATAAATCATCCAAATTTCTGTCATCAACAACTGTAGAAGAAACGTGTAAATCTGTATGAAAGAAATTGTATAGTTTCTCCCCTGTTATGCCAGTATATCCAACCAATCTAGTTAATCCAAAAGGTGAAAAGCAAATATAATCCTGAGTGCTACAATGATTTGGGGGTAAATGAACTCTCCTTATGTGAGTTGAGAATACTTCCTCTTTGGTGTGAGATGTTTCAAGGTGGTCCTTTCCTTGTGAAAAAATATTAGAACTACTTCTAAAGCCACCCAAACAGTTTTCTTTATCAATGATATGCCTTCTTACCCTTTTTGGTAGTTGGAAAACAGTGCTGTGGCCCATTGTCAAATCGCCTTTTGAAATTTCTGAACCATATAAACACCTATTGTGGGAAATATCAGTGAAAACCTTTTGAAAACCTATCCCCTGGCTTGCAACATTCCAGCCAGCCAACATGCCAAAATCAGAATGCTGAGATGGAGAAATAATTTTGTTTGGCAAATGTACTGAGATATGATCATTTACATCAACAACATATACCATGCCGCGTTCATCAGCTACAGCTAATATAGAAGAATATGGAGCCACCATTAAGCTTTTCAAAGTTCTCAAGCTTTCACTTTCCACACTATTTGCTTCTGGTGCTTCCAGCTGGTTTAACTGTGCCTGAATTTTTCGATTAACCCTGCAGCTTCCAACAACATCAAAACTTGCAATGGGGTTACCAGTATTAGCACACCAAATGCATGTTAATCCTGAAGTGCTAAGACAAACAAGTAAGCTGTCTAAAAATTGGAAGTCTGCCCAATGAAAACCTGGACCAGGACCATGATATGGCATTTCAAGATCTATTGAACAAACCCACTCCATTCCCCAGTGATATAGCCTAATTACCACAACGAAAACCTTTCCACCATTCTGTGGTTCAGTTTCAGTGGTTGCAGGCTCTGGAATGGTCAACACAATGCCAAGTTGATTGTGTAAAGAGCCTGAAAACACTCTTGAGAATTTGTATGAATTATTTATAGCACCAGCTTTATTATCAGGCAAAGGTGGATTAGCCACTGCACTCATCATAATCTCAGAATCCCGCTTTGTCTCATCAAATGGAAGAGCTGTGCCACAGGATTTCAAAAAATTCATTGTGGCATAACTAATATCAAATGATAAAACTGCTGCAGATAGCGGATATGAGGACTTTGCAGGAAATCTAGCCAAGTACTTGCTATCACACCAAGAAGCATTCACTTCTGTGAAGAACGTTTGGAGCCACTTTTTTTGCTCTAAAGAAGTTTTATAGTATTTACCAAAATGCTGCTCTTCTGCGTGCAAGCCAGAAGAAGGCCCCCACTCCACCCAATTGCCATTGAAAGGCCCACTTTCATTAACAAATGTGGCCACTTCATAGTCTTTATTAGGATAACGGAATGAATGAAAAGTAAACCCAACATCAGTGCAGACAATGAGAAACTCCCTAAAGTCATATTGCTCGAAGTGACCATATGAATCGTCATAATGCCCCCAGGCAAATGACTTCACATTTGCTATTAAAGCACAAGAACCAAATGAGGCAGAACTAATTTTATAATGATTTTCAAAACTTTCTGCAGACTTGTCAACTGAAACTGAAGTTGATGTTGAAAATTCTGTAAAAATGGCAGGTGTCGGGCAATGATCTAGATGACAAAAACGGTCTACATCGTCCTTAATGTAATAGGAAGGTCGACATCCTGAAAGCACAGAACATCAAGATGAAGAAATAACAATAAGCTGAAAATATCTAGAGGAACAGAAAAGGCAACAAAACAGTTAACAGTACCAGCATTTAGAGGGAGCAATAATGCTTCAGATTTATATGAAAGCAGCAGCAACAGCTTCCTTGTTGGAGAAAGGGAAACTTCAGAAAATTCCGATGGCTTCAAATGATATGGCAAATGGTCCCATTTAGCCAATTTTAATACAGCAGGACCATCTACACTGTCAGTCAATGAAGACATTAGCATCACAAATTCGTTCACGTGGGACGCATCTTATTTACAGCAACATATGGAGACCTTTCAAACATCTCTAGAGCTCGATGATTTATGTTCTTGAGCAATGATTGACCCTGTCTGCAATAAATCTTTCTATTAAAAGCAAAAAATGATGTAAATATTGTCTTTTCATATTTTTTAAAAATTATCATAAATCAATTTATTGCTGAAATTAAAAGAATCAAATCCAAAAAATACCAAAAACTACATTAATCATTCTTTCTACGGATAACTCTAATAAAATGAATAATGTATGACCTCTCTTGTGTTCATGCCCCAACAAAATAGAATGACTGAACATGATAATAGTCACTTGCTACCACAAGAGCTATTTTTCTATCATAAAAAATAACCTAAATAATGTTAAAGGGAAGTGATTTTAATAACCGCCCATATCATAAATTTGTCATCTAGGAAATTCTTGTGTCCAATAGTCCTTCATAAATGTTAAACAAATTAACCCTTTCAATACCTCCAAAAATCATATTCCCAAAATAATTATAAGTGTTGCTTCGTTTATATACATTCCCAAAAATTGAAAGAAAAAAGCTTTATCCCCGAGCATTAAAAGTATTTTCACTGGCTATTCTCCCACATAAAAAAGGTAAAAATGCTACATCCCCCATGAGAAATGCAAATATCCTCTAATTCTAATTTCAATCAAAAAGATCGATTTTTTAATATCAATTGAGAAAAAATAACATTCACAGATAATTTTTTTCTTCGAGATTGTCCATCCTTACCCCCTCTTCCTAGTAAACGATTCTACTTCAAATCGGCCACTCCTACCAAAGTGAGCCTAGAGAAGATTCAGTTCCTTAAACTTATGCAAGTAGGATCAACCTAATCAACCTCTATCAATGAATCTATTGAGAGGACCATTAAGGGTTTGTATGAAGCAACCGCAGTTGCTTGAAAAAGTAATTGTGAAGCTGTTGAAGAAGAATATGCTATTCAAACCCGGGGGGTTTTTTACAAAAAAAAAAAAAATTAAGAAGTCAGACAGCAGCTTTCTAGCAGCCACTGCGGGTAGCAATGTTTGGTAGGAAAATGCAGCGTTCAGCTACAGTTTTGTGAGAGCGCAGACAAAACACAGTTACCGCCACCACACCGCCGTCCCAAACGCACCCTAAGTCTAAAAAAATACAAAATCTTCAATTAAAAATAACTTATACTTAATTTATCATAAAAAAAATTATTATGATCGCCAATCCTCTCTAACTAACTAACATATTATGTTTATCCCTATAACAATCTCTAAAAATTTGCGTAATGTGATTTCGAATAAAGATGATAATGAGAAAAAAAAAATGAAAGCCTTTTTAAACAGCAAAATATAAAAAGCTTCGAAATGATAAATTGCATTGCTTAATTAATTACCATAACTGACTTTTGTGGAGATCAGTTAGACTTCATACAAATCGGCTAAGTACCTTCTGGAGGCTCGTAATTCACAAATGCCAAACTCTATATTTTAAAGTTTGGTGTAATACTCTGCAACGACCCAAAATACTACAAGGTTACCAATAATTAAAATTATACCAGTAGCCAAAGGCTACACTCTAAAATATGAGATGACTTAATTTGAAATATTTGCTCCAGTTAGCAAAATGAAAACCACTAGAATTTTTTTAACTTTAGCAACTAAAAGAAACAGGAAAACACTAAATTTGATAATGAAGAATGCCTCCTTACGCAATGGCATAAAGGAAGTATATATGGAGGTCCCCTGTACTTTGACTCAAATACCAAACAAAAAGTATGCAAGCTAAAAAGATATTATATGAGTTAAGGGAATCTCCAAGCATAAGATTGGCTAAGGCAATGTTCAGCATAGATTGCAAATAGATTCAATGAGACTATTCATTATATAGGAAACATACGTCACGAAAGGAGAGTTTTAAAACAATTATGACAATGTCATCATCACAAATAGAAACTTGAAAAGAATGAAAAAAAATTACAAAAAAAAATTCTCCAAAAAGGTAAAATCAAAAAATTAAATAAGCTACAAACTTTGTTGAAATTATACACAATAAATATGGAATCTTCGAATCACAAAAAAAATATATAACAATTGTTGAAATAAACGATAGGTTGGGATGCAAATCCGTAGAGAGCCATATGAAATTTAATCATAAAATTGGAGAAGTTTTAAAAAACAATAATAGCAAAAGCGTCCTCTTAATGATTGATGGGCAGACTTATCTACATATCACATAAGAGATCAAACATTGTCTACGTTGTTGGTATAGTGAATCAATTCATGCATAACTTCCTCATATGACAATATATATAATTCTACAAAATTTGAATAAAAACCAAGAAAAGGATTTATATTTAAAAAAGTAAAATATTTGGCCCATACACAACTAGAGATTAGGTGAATTTTACAAATGACAAAAAGTCAACATCAGTATATTGCATGTTCTTTAAAGGCAACTATGCGCATTAAAAAAAAAAAGGAAACAACAATATATAGCTTAGAAGCCAAATTAAATCTCTGACACTAAAAAATTTACAAATTTCTATGATAAAAATTATCCCAAAAGGTTTAAAGGTTGAATAAAATGGTGTTGAGGCTCTAATGCAATAATACATTAGACATCACTATTGCACATAATCCCATAAAACATAATCATATAAACTATATTAGATTTGGTAGACACATGCGGGAGCAAATGTGGCATACCACAATCCTGTTTCTACAGGATTTCTGTGGTCTGCGAGTATTGCAGCATATAGATCCCGAGACCACAGAAGAATTAGCCGCAATTTTCATTTTTATTAATTATTTATTTCAGTTTTAGCAAGCTTCCTTCTTTCCTTTTCTTGTTTTTCAATCCTTTTCTATTTTCTTATTTTCAAATTAGGTGTTTTCTATTAGGAGACTTTTTATTTGTTGTGGTAGGATTTGGGATGCAATTTTTAAGAGTTTATGAATATTGAGAAATCTCTGAATTTTGTCTCAGGAGTGTGGTACCCTATTAGTTTCGCAAGTCCTGTGCATGTAACTTGCCTAAAAACAAGTGGTAAATCTCCCTTGCCATCTGAAACTCACAAATTCGCATTCAACCGTTGTTTTCAGCAAGGAGAGCCACCAAGTGCCTCCAATCTACTGTCCAATTGCATGTCTCACCTCCTTTTTTTCCTCCCACAAGCAGAATATTCATTGTTTTCAGTTGAACAAACGTCAAAACCACAACCTGCTATTTAGAGCAAGAAATCACCTTTTTTTTGCTTCCGATTCTCTGTTCACGTTGTTTTGAGCCGTCATCCATCCTACCCACTCACATAATCAATTTTACAACTTTTCTAACATCCTTTGTGTTTTATCATACTGTTTAGGAATCCTAGAACGATGTCATTTGGTATCAGAGCGAGCTAGAGCTAGGTTGAATCTCAGTTAAAAGAATGGAATGCAGTGCCACCAAAGAAAACCCCTCAACGATCAGGAAATTACCATGGAGAACATACAATGGGAAATCCTCCAATTGTAGCAGACTCATTGATTATGAAAGAAGACAACATGGGGAAGTCACCTATAGTAATAACGGTGACCACTCTGATTAAGGAGATGAAGAAAAACCTTTCCACCAAGAAGCTTCAAGTGATGAAGAGTTGATGTCGCGCCGATTTGGTATTGAGTATAGAAAGAGGTGGTGATTTTGGAGTCAAAGTGGATCTACCAAATTTCGATGGCTGCATTGATCCAAACGATAGAACGATTCTTTAAGTATAAGGATGTTCCAAATGACAAGGATAAAACTAAATATTATCAAGCTAAAGAGACGTGTCTCTGTAGTGGGAAATTTTAAACACTTACGCTAGTGTGAGGGATAAAACAAACTTATTACTTGATCTAAGATGAAAAGGGAAATACAGTGCATTACAGGCAGGATGTGTTCGTGAAGCATCATTACTTACAGCAGAAAGATCTTTCAATAGAATAATACACCGCGGTGTCTGAGTAACTCATGTTGAATTGAGAACTAGTGGAGCCCAAAGAGAACGCCATATCTGGAAGGATTGAGATCGTATATTGATAATGTAGTACACTTGCAACCATATTGAACATTACAGGATGTACAAACTTTAGTTCTAAATATGCAAAGACAACACCGCAATATCAGGCATACACCACCCTTTAAACACAGCTCAAACTGAGGATCACGCAACAGAAGTACACACAAAGGAGCGTCCTAGCCTAATCGCTAGAGGAAAAATTAGTTCTGAGTAAAGCCAAGTTGGAGATCTCTAACATTCTCAAATTTTTCCTAGCCAAAAAGTGCTTAAAGTGTCATGATTTTGGGCACATTGCATCAAATTGCCCCAATAGGAGAATGAAATCATTCAACTGGTAGAGTGTCATGGAGGAGGCAGAGGATGAAGACCCAGAGGAGAAGAATGAAGAGGAATACTAGCTTGCAGCCGATGATAGAGAGATGGTAATGATTCAATATGAGCCCATGAGAGGGACTCTAACAAGATTATCATTGGTTGTCCTAAAAGTAGTGAGTCTGAGATAACGAACATTCAGATATGGTTTGAAGATATGGTAACACGAACTACATTTTTGCAGGCACTAAGAGAAGCACAGCAGCACAGACATTAGTAGTCCAAGAGAATCATGTGTTTGAGAAGCTGACACCAGACAAATGGCAATCTCATATAAGAAAATTCAGGATTTTTAGACATGCAGCAACCTCCTAAGTTGCTTCTGCTGAGAGAGGTCCAATATGTCAAAGAAAATAAAGTTTTGAGCTATTCTTGTAAAGTTATATGAAGTAATCTGGGTGTTAAATTTCAATTCAGTTCGACAATGTAGGAGTACTGAGTGCTACCTAGAAAACTACGACCATTATTTTATGAGAAAGAACATTCAACAGTGGGATCCAACCTCCTCCAGAGAAGAAGAAGTCTCTCCTAACCAGGGAGAATAATGTGGGAGTGTATGCAGGGTGTCGTGATCCTGTTTTCGTGTGATTCCACGGTCTGTAAGTATCATGGCATATGGATCCCGCGATCTCGGGAGACTCAACAGTCCCCTTTTTTTTTTTAACACAATTCCTTCCTTT